GAAGATTTAGCAACTAAGGTCATATCATAGACCTTCAAGATATTGCAATATCCCTTAATGGTAAAGACATAACCATTCAGGGATTTTGCCTTATGTGGGTTTGATAAGTAACCTGCGTCAGCATAACAAACAAGGCAAACATCATTCCGAGGATCAGGAGGGTTGGATTCGTGGAGATACGTTGGGATTTGATTTGCCTAAATTCATAGTACATTCAGGGTACGTCTTTAATACCAATTCAGTGGTTGCGTGTAGGTGCGGTGCTACATCTTTACCAATAGATTATCAACAAATGAGATGTTTTGTCTTAATACAATGAGCTAACTACAACAAAGCGCAAAGTTGAACTTAAATATGGAATTTCAGATTCCATAACCTCTTCAAGGTCTCATTTTCATATAATGTATGGACGAACATGGGAAAACTTAAAGGTGACACATTCAGGGTGTAGTTCGACTGGTAGACCAAGGTACCATCAGAACAACACTTGAACTTCAAGTCAAGGCATAAATGAGTTTTCCCAAGATCCTTCATCTCAAATTCCATCTTCAAGTGCAAGGCAGTTTTCTCAAGCTCTTCTAGAATTTTAGTGAGATTCATGTTAATGACATAAACTGTAACTCTAGCAATTCAGAATAAGACTTCATAGTTTAACACGCAATGGCATAATTCATCCCTGACTGATCGAATAGTCACTTAGACAGGTATACCACATCCGTCGAATTGTAAGTGAATGCCTCAAACAAGTTAAGAGGGTGTTCTGTGGTTTTGGAACTATTTGAACCAGTTCATGTAATTCTTCAGGAACTTATATGTAAATCTCCGTATCTATATCCCCATAGAGAAACAACTAACCACATTTCATAATGCTGCTATTAATCATATGACGTTTTGAGAGAAACCTTGTGCCATAAGGCATGCATTATATCGCACTATTTCATTCATCTCATAACGCTTCCTTTCCCACTTGTAACACTACAGGGTTACCTTGGGCAATGTAGGAACGACAGGTTCAAACACACTTTGGTTAGGAATTTGACCTAGATTGTAATTTTGGTTGTCCAATCAGTTCTACGTTGTCACTTAATCAACGGAACACAGTTCGATATCGTCGCTTTTCATTTATGTCGGTAGCTACTATTAAGTGAAAACATCATCGATAGTAATCTCATTTCAATTCCATTTAGCTCATCCAAACTACTATACTGGACCAAGAACTTCAAGTCTCGGGAGTAATCCGGATTATTTTTATGAGATGGAAATGATTTGAGATAACGATCATGTATAGATTCATTATTGTGCTGTGTCTTCCTCTTCTAGGGAAGTGAATCTTATGAATTGAATGATCTATCGTGCTCCAAACCAAGACAGATTGATTGGCTATCCGCCAGTGTACCAGACTGTTCAACAGGGACGGCACACCCTCCAGGGATGTTGACTCGACGTTCGTTGAGTACGTTTATCCTTACAGGCATGTTTGCAGTTGGTAAATGTGTTTGGAGCAACATTCTGAAAGCTAGACTTCATTGCATTTGCTTATCATACTTGTGCAGTATGGGGATTGAGATGAGACATAGTGGGCAACGTCCACGCAAATTTGCGCCATTCTTCAGGAACGTTGACGTTCTTATCTCCCTTAATGACGGGAAAACTATCTCATTAAAGTGACAACCCACAAATGAGTGGTAAAGAGATCGCGTGAAAGGGCTCTAAGAGAGCGAAGGTGAAGGAGAATCATAATCAACAAAGATTCACATCCTTCTTTGAGGACCCATGTTGGTATGTTGCGGCAGCGGAACTTGGCACATGGAATGCACACCCAACTGCGTAAATACGAAAATTGTTAGGTTCGTACCCAGTAACCAACTGTAACGTCATATAGGTTGGGTGGTAATGGATCTTAAGGCGGACCAACATAACTACATACAAGATTGCATAGCCCTAGGTAGAAACTGAAAACTTGGTATGTTACCAAAATCCAGGCGATCATTTAAATTGCGCTTTATGATCACTAGGCGAGGCTATTTGGGGTGAACATGGATATTTGATGTTCAATTATAAACCCAAAATATATGCAATACTTTATCAAAATAGGTCAATATAAACTTTCCAGCATTATCTAGTCTTCTGGACTTTAAGGGATAAGTAAGGTGGTGAACCCTTAATCGGCCATAAGGTTTAGCAGCAATGTGTGTGGACAAACATGTGACCAGTTTGTCGATTCATCAACCAAAACCATAAGTATTTATATGGTCCACATTTTGGTTGGATTAATCCACATATATTCCCTTGAATCCACTGTGAAAAGAGAGTCGTTTCGTATCTTTGCTAGGGATGATTTAGAAATCAAATTTCCCTAATGAGTAAGCTTGGCAAAGTGTGCTTATAGGCACAAGATCCTTACTTCAGGTAAGGAGATACGTCGTAGCATCATTGTTCGACCTAAGTGTCCCAAATGGTTGTGTTAAAGCAAGTAAACTGCTCAATCACCAGGCTCCAAGTCGGTCATATGTGGTGTGTTCCCAGTTGGGAGACAACACATTAGCCTTAAAGCAAAGCTTCAGGCTCATTTTTGGAGGTGGTGCAAAGATATTTCACTCTATTTTCTTTAGTGGTTTCATTAATGATCATTGTTCTCTCAAATATCCTTAAGAACTCAATGACAGGGAGAATTTAAGGTCCCTTAAATGGTAATTTAGTACCATTCATACAACAAGGAGCATGCCAAATGCTCTTAATCAGGTTGGATAGACCTGAAGTCGTTGTTAGAGATGTGATTTAGGTGTAAAGTTAGTGTGCGTAGTATCGCATTCATTCAGACAACTAACTTCCCCACATTCTTGCCTAATCACGTGTGTAATTGAATCGGTCACATGTATTAAGAAACATGATTCATTTAACTCATATTCGAGGACAATATCAATAAGATTATCCATAACTAAAACATACACCAAATGTGAATCCAAGAACATGGAAATGTGTTCACAAAGTAAATGGTTTACTAAGGGGATTCGGCCAACAAGGCCATCCATGTCAAAATTCTGCTCTTCCAATGGTGTTCAGTGGAGCAAAATTAGTCTCACATATTGATTACTAGAATGGTACTCCTTAACAACATTGGTAGGGGCACGAACATGTGTATAACCAATGATCTATTCCATCAAGACAAAAATAGATTATGCAGGGTTAAGGTTTGGGAATATTATCCCTTATTCTTAAAGTTTTAGGTCTTAGGTGCCAAAGATCATGCTTCGGGCATGATGCCACACCTTGGTAGGCGCTGATTCTACCATATGTTTGTGGTAGTAATCAGATCCAAGAATTTGGTAAACTTTTACTTTTTACACTGCTGCTTCAGGAGCGAGTTAGAAATATGGAAGGAGAGAAAAATATTCTCTAGTCAAAATTCGATCGGATTTATAAACTTCAGAATAGTGTTCATTCATGGACGTAATCATGGTGTGCTTCAAGCAATGCCTTTCATGATTAGACGGTGTATAGGAGTAAGCCAAAGAGCCATGGAATCCTCGTTCGGGAGGTACTTTCGTTTATAATGCTTTGGGCATAAGTCTTTGAATGAAGATCATGGTAGAGGCTTATTCAGCTCTTCCATGCCATTGTTGGCTACAATGGTTTCTCAACTTCTTGATAGTCAAGTGGAGATTCACATCGTGTACCCTACATAAAGTGGTTTATGTTATAAACGTCCACATAAGGGAAATCAAACTTGTGACGGTTCGACAATCCATTGAATTAGAGGGAACAATATTATGATTGGTGCTTATGTGAATGAATCATCCATATGCATCTAAGTTAGAACGTTTGAGTTCTAAGACATGGTGTTTATGAAAAACGTCGGGTTTTCATGGGTGTATTTGTTTTATGAAATATTTGGGTTACAAAGGCACTAAATTTGAAACTATAGATTCAATTTAGGTTATGAATGTTTAGTTCATAAAAGAGAGGTTCTTGCAAGAACACATAATGCAATATACAACTAAGTGTAGTGGATTTGAGTTTCTTTGGGAACTCAAGTGTGAGAGCTTCGTTACTACGAAAGTATGTTAAGAGTTCAAAGTATAAAAATAAATTATTGAATCATTAATGTCCAAAAGTGATCTTCAGGTCAATAATTTTGGATTCATTATTAGATTAATAGACTGTAGATTACTTTTAATTAATTCAATAGATCGGGACCAAACAGGATCGATTGTAGAAGCAAAAATAATTATAATATTTGGGTTAAAATTATCTAAAATACCAAAAAAAATTAGCATTGGGTCGAAAAAGGAACATAGTCCAGCATGTGATTGCTTACCGCAGTACATGAGACAAGGCTGCAGGCTTGTTGGGCCGCAGGGAAACGGCTGCAAAGCAGCCCAGTTCGCTAAAGTGCAAGCTGTAGGCTTGCTACAAATTGGGCAGAGGGAATGGGAAGAGCCCAGCATGCACTGGCATTTTGGATAAGAGGTCGGGGGCGTGAAGCCCAGCACTGAAGAACCCAATCAATCGGGCTTGGTCCACTACTGGGGTAGAAAGCCCAAACAGAAGCTCACCCATTCGGCTGTAGGCTGATTGAAGATGGGCCGAGTGCACGGACAAGCCCAGCACGGGCTAGCTTGGTCCTGCGCGGGCTGGACCAGGAGAAAACCCACGGGCTGGTATGCTGCTATATAGGTCTGTGGGCCCAGCAACATGCAAAAAACCCTAGGCCGTGGCTCAGTCGAAGTTGTTTCCATAAATCTTAAAATCATTTTCAAAATTTATAGGGTTTGAAAAACCCTAATATGCTTCTAATTTATTTATATTCTTTGACTTACAAATTCCATATAGTAAAAATTGAGCAATGTATTAAACAAATATATATATTGACAAATATATGAACTAGGGGTGGGCACTGGCCGGGCATTTCAGTTTTCAGTATAGGAACCGGATCTTACCCGGCCCCGATTGAAACGGGCCGAGTCCACGGGTCCAAAAAAAAAGCTAAAATTTGCACATATTGCAATTGCACATATTCTATCATTCAACCACTACGGCACTACCAACGTCCAAAATAACAACACATCCAAATTCCGAGAGTCCAAAATAACAATATTACATGACATCGTCCAAAATAACAATACATCGTCCAAAATAACAACACATCGTCCAAATTCATAGATTAAAGAAAGTTACCCAGAAGAGTCTTTTGGAAGCCGATCCGCTCCCCAAGCAAGCAACTCTCTGACACAATCTAAGGATCCACCATGAGCAGCTAAGTGAAGCGGTGTACTTCCAGGGTAGCTTCACATATATGGTACTACAATCAATCTGACTGTCAAAGTATTACTATAAATCTATAACATGAGTAATAATTAATATAGATAATTACCCATATCCACCAGTTGAAGCACAAACAAGAGCCCCATTGTCTAAAAGAACATGAACGCACTCTGACTGTCATTGGCGGGCAGCTAAATGCAATGAGGTTGCACCACCTCGATCTCTTATGTTCACAAATCTTGCAAATCCCCTACCAATGCCATTCAATGTAGCGTAAACATCACAAAACAAGCAAGAACTTCAACACAAAACAAACGACCAAATTAAGACAAATGAGTACAACAAAAATGGAGGTAAAGTTGAGCTGCAGCAAAACAAGATGAGGGAAGGGACATCTCGAAAAGATAAACACAATACAACAAAAACTAAAGAAATCAATCACAAACCATTTACGATATAGAAAATGATTGCAATCAACAATCCCTACAAACCATTTAAGTACAACCGCAGACTGGATTAAGGAGGCTGTACAGATAGCTTAAAAATAAAGAAGAACCCAATTGTTTTGGGTTCGAAGCAGTATTTAATCTTTCGCTAGAAACCTACAATATGAAAACTGTGAAACCATTTCTGTTCCGTGTCATAATTTACCATTCACCTAACAAAACCCTATTAGTAGTCTAACAACTCTTGAAGACTTGAAGCATACATTGTATAATTAAGGAAGAGAGGTATTTACTGCAGCATTTGGAATCAAACATTCACAAAGATCAAAACGCAGGGAGGGACTACTTGAATCAAAGATGATCAAGTAAGATCTCCATGAAATCAAAGAATACAAGCCTTTACTTGAAATCAATGTACAATTTATCAACATTTTGTAAATAGAGGTTGGCAATTGAATTTTATAATTAAGGAATTAAAGAGGAAAAGGAAGTAAGTAAAAACTAGAAGAAAAAAAAAACCCAAATCTGAAAAACGCAGTAAACACTCAAATTGAAATCCCGACCCCAATCCCAATTCTAAATTCCAATCAATAACCAAATCCCAACACAAATCCCAAATCCCACCCCCATCCAAACAGATCCACAATTTCTTCACCCAAATGTTCATGCATTCATCAAATTACTCCCACCTAAAGATTTAATGATTTAGTCTTTAATCAAATCCAATTATTCATGCTACAGTTGCTAGTGCTGCTGATCCTCCGCATCAACAAAAATAAAATTCGGAGAAGTAGATTTACGGTAGCCGGCGAAGTAACGGATGTCATCGAGGTCGGAGGATGGCTGGATGGGTGGTGGTGGTGCCGTTGTGTTGGTCGCAGCGGCGATGATGGGCGTTTTCTGGGATGTCGTCGGAGTCGAGGGACGGTGGAGAGGTGGGAGTGAGAAAGTGAGACTGAAAGTCTGAAACTGTTTATGGAACCTAGGTTAGAAATTAACGGTTCATATTGCATGATAGGTTATCATTCAATCTCGACCGTTAATTATAATTAGAAACGGGTCGGTCCAGGGCCCTGTTTTTCTAAGGTTTAGTAACCGGCCTACCCCGTAAATAACAATAGCCCGGCCCGGCCGTTTCTTCCCAAAAAAAATAGGACCCGGCCCATACCCGCCCCGAACCTACACTACCCACCCTGACCCGCGGTTCCTCTACCCGTTTGCCCACCCTTAATATGAACATATACAATATTTATGTCGGAAGGAACGTATAAACATAGAGGGGTTCATGCATCATGGGAAATGTTTTCATGCTTCAAGGTCGTTTCAAATATCTTACTTTATTTTAAATGTACCTGATTAGCAGAAAACAACAAAAGCCTTTGAATTTGAGGAAGATCATTCTCAGAAAATCAGAATTGCATCTCCAATGCGTTGTATCATGTTTAACATAGAAAAATTAAATTGAATCAATAGCTTGTAGATCAATTCCATAAAATAGTAAATTAATCATTAAAAGAATGATTAAAATGTAATACTCCCCTAATTGAAGATCAAACTCTCTTTAGTGCATCGTCAAGAGCATGCTGATAACGTGTTGTAGGCATAATTTATTGAACGATTATGGAGGCCATAGAGAGAGAGAGAGAAAGATGCGGCAATAGTAGAGAGAAGAGAGATATGTGTAATTGTGAGGTATGTTCTATTTCACCCCATTGTGCCTTTATTTATAGTAGTTGGGAAGGTTAATTTCTTATTCTTTTAGGATTACAACTCTTAATAGGTAATCAACTCCTAATAGGAATATGAGAGATATTCGAAGATATACTAGGATTTATACAATTACATTCCTAATCTAATAGGACTGCAACAAATAGTTCTATTTTCCAAAAAAAAGAGAATTTTTTGTCACGCTACGGTTTAATAGTATTATTTTTTTATTTTAAGTTTGTTTATTTGTTTAACTTTCAGTTTCATATTAAATTATTGTTGATTCATTTTGTAATTCAGTTCGTCTCATGCCGTGAATTGTCATTGACACTTTAAAAATCTCATTGTACATTCTTCATATATGTAATGTTTAATTATAAAAAAAATTTAGAGTGCATAATAAGATTTTGAAGTGCGAATTAAAATATATTAATATAATACGAATATATTTTAAACAGTATTTTTTTTCTTCATAAAAAGAAAACCCATTTAACTGGAACCTATTCTCATCGATAAATTGTAGAGATTATTGTGAATATAATCGTTTCACCTTTTTTTTATATTCATCTCTAAAGGGGAGTAAATTGGCTAGATTTTTTGATCAAATAGTAGATTTTGTCAGATTAGCCACCGACGGGATTCGAACCTACGCTGTCATGTAAGAGCTCAATACTTATAAGGGCCACTTGCAAGTAAATTGGCTAGATGTTAGGAAATCATTCGCTATCTTGTAATTTTGGTCAAATGATAGATTTTGTTAGATTAAATATTAAATTAGTCACCGACGGAATTTGAACCCACAACATCATGCAAAGGCTTAACATCTTTCCACAATTGTGATAAATGGCTATACGGTATTGTTCATTTTAACGAAAAATCTATTTTTATACTAAAAAGTCAATTCTAGTACTATTCACTTTACCCTTTATTTTATCTTTATCATTAAAACTCAAAATTTTCAAACTATTTTCATTAGTTTTCGTTAAAAAAAAAAAAAAAGTTTGACACAAGTTTTATTTTAAGAAAAAAACACTTAAACCACTTTTTTTTTTTTTTTGGAAAACAAAAAACACTTAACCACTTTTTATTAATAATAAGGACAAATTTTAAAGGGGAACCGGGGTAAGAACTAGAGCCCAGCACGCGAAATAAAAGGCCCAGAATTCACTAGCTTTTTAAATTCCAACATGTGCACCTGAAGGAAATCTTTCCCCGTCAGCCTTTTCCGTTAACTACATCAGGCCCAAGTTCACATTTCAGCCCTATCAACAGATAGTCCAAAAATAAATTGAAAAACAGATAAAGATGCAATCAATTCTCTCGAGAAGTCCTTCCCTACCAAACCTCTGTCTTCCTCATCACATACCACTATTTATTTTAAGGGAATTATTATTAGTATTTAAAAAATATCATTCTACACTCCAAACTTTCCATATTAGGAAAGAAAAATACACTTATGGGGAGTGTAGAATGAGATTTTTGGAGTGTGAATAACACTTTCCTATTTTAAGTAGTAATAAGCACTATTTCTAGAACCCCATAAGAAAAGTTTTTTTCTCCTTTTATTTTACATTATAAATTGACTAATATTATTATCTAGGTCGTTTTAAATGATGCACAATTGTATTATTTAACCCAAATGATAGGACACACCCAAAACAATTTTCAAAATTAACATTAAACTCATTGTTTCTAAATTAAAATAAGCATTGTTTCTGAACCCCAAAAAAAATAAAAATAAAAAACTCTTCTTTTTGGATTGTAATTTGACTTAATATTATCATCTAGTTTGTTATAAATGATGCATAGTTGCATTTTTTTAACCCAAATGACCGGAAACTAATCTAAAAATTTTCTCAAATTAAAATTAAAATAAGCATTATTTCTAAAACCAAAATTTAATTTTTTTTTTCTCTTCTTTTTTTCTTTCTTGAATTTGTAATTTAACTTAATATTATTACAAGTTTGTTTTAAATTATGCATGGGTGTATTATTTAATTCAAATGACACGACATCAACTCAAACAATTGTCCAAACTAAAGTTAAACCCCTATTTTTAACTAAAAATAAGCATTTTTCCAAAATTTAAAAATAAAAGTTTTCTTCTTAATTTTGTTTAATATTATTATCTAGTTTGTCTAAATGATGCACGATTGTATTATTAACTCACATGGCAGTGTGCAAACTTTTGGTAACTTTAACAATGGGACACAATGTACATTAAAATAAGAAAAATGTGTGGGGGAGCCAAGTCCACGGGTAGCCTATACATATATAATAGGTTAATTTAGGTACTCATTAAAGAGGGAAAGGGATCCTCTTCAGATCCCTTCCTCCTAACCAAATAAGGAGATCCGTATGATTGGAATTTGATCAAACGGTTGAAGTTATTATAACTTTTAAAGTGGACCCCTATTTGTAGCCGTTGAATCAAATTTCAACGGCATGGATCCCCTGATTTGGGGATTACGAGGAAGGGATCCCGAGAGGATCTCTTTCCATTAACGAGTACCCTACATATTGACCTTTTTATTTTGGTCCAATAATATTTTAACACATATTTTATTGTTTTAAATAATAATAAACGTGTTAATTAAATTTTCTTAGGCTTAAAAAAAATGAAGAATACATGGCGGCGGATGTTCTTGCATCGGTTGGTTTTTCAGAGATGTGTGATTATGTTTGGATCGATAGACCCCCATCTTCGTTGGTGCATGTTTTGAACAAGGATGGTCTTCCGTCCGCATTAATTTTGCTGTGGCGGTGTTTAGGGTGACGCTTTCACTTGGTTGAAGCGTCTTCTGGATGTATCCCCTTTCATTGCTTTCACCTTAGTCTGTCTTTCTTGGTGTTTGCCTCTCGGTAGGCTTTCGTGTACCTTTTTGCTTCTTAGCCCTGGAATGAAGTTCCTAGTTTTCAAAAAAAAAAAATTATATATATATATCCTATATAATATTTGATAGGAACATGAAGAGAACAGAGCTTACGCGCAAGGCGCAAAGCATAAGTAGAAAAACCAGGTCTTGGTTGCCACTTTCCACTGAATGAACTTCATAGTCTTATTTCCCATAGTCAAAGAATAAAAAAATTTTAAGTGAAAAAAAATGTGGCATAATAAGGATAATCACGTTGAACATGAAGTTTTTATTGAATCTCTCTTAAATAATCAAATTGTTGGAAGTAGGAACTTTCCACACCTACTAAATATAAAACTTGTTTAGAATTGCTTTTAAAACAATTGATAACGCTTTTTGTGAAAATATTTTTTGAACCCATCTTTAGTAAAAATGAAAATAAATTATGAAAAAGCATTTGAAATACTTCATACAAGAAGCATATAAAAGCACTTTAAGTGCTTTTGGAATCCAGAAATATTTTTTCTATAAGCGCTTTCAGTTATTTTAAAAACACCTCTAAACAAACCCATAGACTCGATCCAAGTTCCTTTACGTGTGTGAATTTTTAGGTGTCTTCCAGTATATTATTTCTGGATACATTTTATTTATCACCAAACCATCAAGTACTACCTAACTTTAGTTGATTCCATAGAAGAATTTTCTTTAACCTAACTTTAGTTGACCAAAATTAAAATAGTTCTCTCTCATAACGGTGTTATTTTTTTAGGAAACGATAACGATAGTATAGGTTTATTAATAAAAAGTCATTACAGAGGTTCATTACAAAGAGCCAATCCACAACAAGTAAATCTAAGATTAAATTTGGAGGAGAATCATACCATTCACAAGCTTGACTTAAAGAAAAACTAAAATGTGCGAACCTATGGGCAACAACGTTAGCTTGACGTCGAGGATGAATAAAAGTAGCCTCGGCGATTGTCAGAAGTAATGCCTTGATTGTCGGTACTAATGGTGTTGATTCTTGAATGCCAAGGCAAAGAGAGCAGCTCGATTTTAGTCAGAAATTATTTTGTCAATAAAGTAGATATTTTGTCAACAATATGGCTGGTAAAGTCGATAATTTATAGACAGCTGTTTAGGTTAGTAGCTTAATTACGTAACTATTAACGAATTTTCAATATGACCTGAGGATTAAAATAAGATTCACGATTTCTACCTAGCAGAAATTTTGTTTAATTTCTGGGGTTTTAATCGGTCAAAGATGGAAATGTACGTGTAGTGGTTTAGGGTTTCATCGAATGGTCAGCTACAATGGTGGGATTTCGAAGCAACAGCTAGCGGCTAGAAATGATCATAATTTCTTAGCAACTTATTCAAAAGTCTTCAGATTGATCTGCCCCCTGGAG